ACAGACTGTCCATGGTGAATATGAGGACTGTTAGGCTTAAATGTAATTATAATGTAATTTTAGGGTCCCATGAACCCAAATGTATTCTAAAATGAATAACTAAGGCTTGCAGTCAGCAGCAAATGCAGTGAGCTCTGAAGCCCAAGAGAAGGTGGCCATTAGGCCCTGCTAGTGCTGTCCAGGGTGTTCTGAATTAGTCTCAAGTAAATCTGCACTTGCCATCCTGACTGAAATCTGAGTCCTAAGGCATGAATGCGTGACTCTTCTGATGTATGAAACACTTTTTAAGTACACCACATAGTGTAAGTTTTCATTTTATGTTGAAAACTTCCAGTATTATTAAAATTGCATCAGATACGTGCCAGAGAACATCCAGATTATCTGTATAAAGTGACTGTCATCTTTCCAACAATAATTCAATGGCTCATGCATCTGTTTTATGTACGCTTCCATCTTTGGAAACCTTTAGATCAAAAGTGGGGTGGTCAGTCAATCAAATATACAGAAGAAGGTAAAGGTCACAGTGGTGCAGCATACTAAAAGTATTACGCATTACAGTCTTGACAAATCATTCTCATGACATAGACTGTAAAAAAAGAGCAGAAATGTCACAAAATGAATCAAATCTCATGAGACACACTTGGAGAATGAAGGAAAAAAAGATGAATGTAAGCCTCTCAATGCTTTTTGTAGTTCTAATTTTTCTGTTTCCCTCCAATAAGTTAAGCAGAAATTTTGTTTGACATAAGATAAAGGCTACCTTTCTGGATATGAAGCCATCTGTGAGCTATGTAGCAGTGTATTGCTATGTATCAGCTAGAATATGAGTGCTCATTTTAATACAGGTTTAAGCACAGGTTTGGGATTAAAATTTCAATATACTTTGAACTGAGCCCCTTAGGTGTAGACAAGAAATCTGACAGGTCATCATATTTCCATATGGGTCAAGGATATGAAGTATCTCAGGTACAGAGACTTAATAGAAGATGTTAGTGTTTAAAATGTTTCCAATCTTTCAGATGGGTATCAGGGAGGGTAAGATTAAGCTGTGGAAAACACAGAGGTTATAACTAGGGTGGGAAGCGTAAATAATAGAGGCAGACATGGATGAAAGCATCTGGAAAGCAAACTCTCCCCATATTTTGAAGTGAACAGCCAGATCTGTAAGTATCAGGACTTTTGCTACTGTCTAAATCTGTGTGAAATAGGGGAATGACAACCTGTTACTTATGTGAATTATTCTGTGAAGTGGCAGGGATGTTTTGATGTGTAAACGTTTTAATCTTGTTTATGCTCATGTGAACTTTTGCATGAAATTATATTTTAGATTTAAAATAAGGTGAGCAAGCACACAGTGTTAAACAAAAATGACTAGGACTGCAGAAGTGAGCCATCAAAAATTCAGAAGCATTTATGCAAACCCCATTCTGATCCCTTGAGCATTTGGCAGTCTTTAAATCACATTATCACAAACTGTTTTGTTCCCCAGCATAACTGCCTGGTTGATGATAGAGAATCGATTGACCTATAGGGGAAGCAAGGTTGTATGATGAAGAGACCTATCTGTAGGTCTGTCCCTGTCTACCTGCTGTAGCAGTGGAAGCTATGTGGGAATATTCGGGGACTGCAGAAAGGCAAAGAATAAGGTCTCTCAAGTAAAGGCTGTGCGACAGTTCACTGCAGAAGCGAGCAGACTGGAACGTCTCGGTGGAAAATTAACTTCTCACAATTCCTGACAAATACTCATAATATTTGTTTAGTTTTATTCCCCTCCCTCAAGAAGGTTCTTTTGCCATAGTATAATTTTCTTAACATTTTCAAGTGGTGGTATTTAAAAATTTTAGGCCACTCAAAAATTTTAACTATTGTCTGATACGTTTTGCTGAAGATTATCATCAGTAGTCTCTGAACTTTCAGTAAGTGAACACATTTAGAGAATTATCTGTATTTTCTCTTTCACTTTGAACATGTAACTTGTATGAATACTGTATTAATAGTTCCAGATTTTCTGCTCTAAAAATCGATTTTTGCTTTTTTGTATCCTGCAGTTTGAGGTGCTTTCCTGTTGAAAAATGGGAAAGAAGAACACATTTTTAAACTGTGCTTGTAGTATCAGAACAACTGGCTGCAGGTATCAGAACAGATGAAAGAAACCCAGCTGTTGTAATACATTTTTTTGTTATTGACTACATTTCAGCTTGGCAGTGTCAAATGGATGTAGCATGAGTTTCAGTCTGGGCTCAGAGTGTCCTTCCAGGACCTGGGGTGAATACACCACTTAGCCCATGATAAAGCCTAGTGCTATGGTGCTTTTGCTGAAATCCCATCCTCTGCCTGCAGTGGCCAATTACTCACCAAGTTCCTTCCTTAAAGTCTCTCAAATGTTTCATGTTGATGGATTATCATGACTTATCCGCAATGATAGCCAGGATATCTTTGAACAACCATTGAAGGCATAACATACACTAGAGCTAAAACTTTCCTACAGTTTCTAATTGAGTCAGTGTACCGAAATGGAAGAAATCTGCAATAGTAAGATTTAGATGTTTGGACCTGTGTCAAAACTGCTCTAGCACTTTGCTTATTTTAATGTTCTTTTTCAGGAATTTAGTTTCACTGTCCTTTGTGTTAGTAGCTGGGTTTTACCTACCTGTTTAGTACTAAACAAGAATGATTTGTTTCGGCTACAGAGAAACCTCCCCTTTTGAATGTGAATGATTAAGTTAATTAGTAAATTCCTGTGGGCATTTTGAAACCATGAAGTACATTATATGTATCTATTTTAATTAGTTTCTATATTGAAGAAAATGGGAAAGAAAGTAAATCCTTTTCAGCCTTCTAAGGCCCAATTTATTGGATGTTTCGGAATTGTTTTCACTGTTTGCAATATGGTATCTCATACTAACATTTCATACTACCAGATGTTTCATTATTCCTGTTTTAGCACATCATACTTGACCCATAGCAGCTTTGAATGCAAATAACAGACAAGCTGATGCACAATGCTTGACTGTTAGACTGAAATAATATGGCAAGACTAAACTGGTTTTCATTTTTCCTTTTGAATATTATTAATTGCAGTGTGGTGACTGTTAATTTAATTAAATGTTTTGTTTTAATACCATTCTTCAGTTCACTGACTCACCGTTTCATTTAATTAATTGCAAACCTCAAGATTTGATTACTCATAGTTCTCCTTTAGTTAATTTACTTGTTCACAGTTTTGACAGAAGAGCTTTCAAACTAATATGAAGGAGGGGCACAGTCTAATCAGGGAACTGAAAAAATAGCTGTAGCTAGAGTACAAGATTAGCAGATACTCAGGATCACCTTAAAATGCTCAGACTCCTTGTACTCACCATTAAATCCAATTTTCAATGACTGGACATTAGTTAAACATGGAGGATTCACTTGCATGCAAGACACCCTAGGTACCTCTCTGTGGGAATGTATAGAGTTTTGGTTTACTATGTCTCCAAGAAGCTATGTGCTAATGGGTAAATGGTGATGCTCACTGGAGGCTCTGTCCCCTCATGTCCAGGTGCTCGGGAGGTGGTTGGGTTCAGCCCTGCCCTGTACTAGGAGGCTGGCCCTGAGGGGGACAGGCTGCAAACAACTTCGGAGTTGTGAACTTTGGGCCATGCAGTAAAAATGTTTTTTGTTGAAATAACTCCTGAGACTTCACAGAGGAATAATCCTCTGTAGTCTTTTTGTCTGCATAGGGGATATTTGAGTAAACAATTAGCCACTAACTTTAATATGATGCAGACAAGGGTTGGAGAAACCTGACCGGTCTTCACACCCTCTACACTACAGTACTACAGGTATCTGGATGTTTGGAGCAGTGGTTGTATTCAGTGGGTTTAGCCCTAACAGAAGCAACCAAGCCTCACAGTACATTCAGGGCTCTTCAGTCTCCTACACCCCACAAGCAGCAGGTATTCCCCAGAGCAATGCCGTGTGCCAGGTTGAGTAAGCTGAGCATGGTCCTAATTTGGATCAAACCCCTGAATTTGAAAACTGTTTGGTGCTTAGGTATATTTTGGCCGTGGCTCAGAATACAATTGCAGAATTGTCCTTCAGTGCAACCTGAGCATAAAATGTGCTGGTTTGTGTGTTCTTGACTGGTTGTTTCAGGGCTAAATTCCTGTGTGGTACAGCAGAGTTGTGCTGACTTGTCAGAGAGAGAGAGTACACAATGCCCTGACAAAACTGAAATTATGAAATGAAGATTACTAATGGCAGTTGGTTGTTTTGCCATATGCATGATGCAGGTGTACCCGAGCACACCATCCCATTCTGTTACACAAATGTAATGGAGATTCACATACAGAGACTGACCCAGAACGTGGCTCTGAGGTCTCTGCATTAGCACTGATGTGTCTCTCAAGGAACCCCAGCACCTCTTTGTGAAGCTGCCGTCTTTCAGCTGAGGCAAATGGTGGGTTGTGGGGTACCGCTGGCAGGAGTAGCTCCACCGGCCACATCGCTGCTAGCGGTTTGGAAAACACGTTGTGGTTACAGTGATGAGACTCACCCGTTGTTGTTGTTGTTAGTGTAAAGGTTGTGCGTGTTTGTCTTTGATAATAAGTGGTACATAGTTAATTTCCTGGATGTTCAGTGACTGATCACAGCTGGCAGAAGATAACTGAAGGAAGGGAAATTTAGAGTGTAAATGGAGAGAATAAACCAGAAGCTTTGAAGTGTGTAATCCAGCATGTTGGTTTTCCCAGTGATCCTTTTTTTTTTTTTTTCAGGTGAAAGCAGAGGGATACAGCTGTTTTTAAGCACATTTTTCAAAGTGAGGTACTCTAAGTGAGATTCTGCTGCTGTTAATGATTCATCTGAGAGGATGGGAATGATTCTTCAGTTCTTTGTAGATCTTTAGATAAGTCAGTTGAAGAATAGCCCTCTTTGCTACAGCTAGCCAGAGCTGAGTCAATTATAGAAAGGAGTTTTATTAATAGTTAAATTAAATGGTAGCTTCAGTAACGTTAGCCATGGCCATAGCCTTAATTGAAGATTATGCCAGTGGGTGATTTGCTGTACATTTTCTTCCATCATTTCAATCAGTAACACACCCTGACCGCTGAAACCATTTGCTTTAACTTCAGTTTTATTAGCTTTCAGAAATGCTGAAGCATTAGTACACTGTTTTTAAAATGCCTCATACAGTTAGATTCGGGGGCTTTTGCTGCTGTCACAGCTCAAGTAAGAAATTGTATAGATTGAGTTGAGAGTAGAAAGACTTTGCTGATACTGAGCTTAGAGATAGTATTGGTCATATCTGCTTCAAGTTTATGTCTGACTGCTCAGGATCTTCAGGTGTAGGGCTTTCTACATTAGGACTGTGCTTTAATCTTTAAATTTCTAGTGCTGAAGTAGAGTGACTTTGGTGTGGCAGATGGCACAGCATAGATTTCCGATACATCACTGTTTTTTGGCTGTTGTCCTTATGACAGCTGTGTCTGGTTAGGGAGCTAAAAATGCCTGACAATAATTACCTTTAATTTCTGCAGGTGGCATCGTGGTGATTTTAGGACTGTTTGTTGTTTTCTCCTTGCTTCTCAGTACCCTTTCTGCCTTCACTGTGCTGATATGACTGTTCAGTAGGTTTTTTGGATTTTGTTAGTTTGGGGTTTTTTGTACAGTGCCCTGGATAAGTTTTTGTCTTGCCTTTTCTCTGAACATTTTACTAAAGGTCTGAATTTACTTTCCATTCCCTGTTTCTTTACTTTTTTGTATATTTAAACTAAGTAAAATTTTATGACTTACAGTATAAAGAACCTGTATAAATACTGACCCAGATGAAAATACTTACTGGGGTAATGGTTCATCTATACATATTTGGGTACACACAAACGATAAAATGTTATGATAAAAACCTTCATGTTCAGACTTTATATTTTTTGTAACCTTTAAAATAAATGTGAATTCTTTGCAAATGGATTCGAAGTATGAAGTGAAAAGAGAGTAGGCTGTGAGTGGGTACAAGTTCTGAAAATGCTTTAGTGATGGCTGTTCCTTAAAACTTGGAATTTATTGGGACAAGCAGGAAAAGTGCAGCTGTGCAGGTAGGCAGGCAAGTCACACATGTGCCTGGAAATCTTAAAACCAGTAAATTCCTCAGAAGGCTTCTGCTGATGCTGTTTCTTGAACTTCCTGAAAATAATGTGAAATTCACTCATTGAATTCACTCAGAGCAATCCCACTTCCTTTCCCTAAGAAAAAAATAGAAAAGTTTATAGACTATTTCACCTCTTCCAGAAAGTGTGTGAACAGTTTTATCATTGAAGATGCATTCTTTGATGGATTAAGTGTGAGTGATGTCAGCTGGGGAATTGGTAAAAACAGGAGTTTAAGCATTAGGATTTTATATCTGCTTGATACAAACCGTGTAGCATTTGCAAAAGAACTTAAAGGGTATTAAGAAAACTCCTGATTTTTAAATAAGAAGTGACTGCTGTTACAGTATTGTGATCTTCTCTATGAAGTGAGGACTGCCGTATATGAATCTTGGAAGACAAGATTCCTGGTAACGTTTTCTGGAATTATTTTTATAAGCTTATATTTGGTGTATATTAATAATGAAATCAATGTAGTTTCTCATGTACCCATGACAAAACAGTAAAACAAATGCCTAATTAGTGTAGGTTATATTTGTTGGGTCTGGCATGAGAGCTTTGGGAGTACAGGAGTGCGTTAACTACAGTTGGGTTTTGTGAATGCTGAGAGGCTCCTAGGCAAGATGGGATGAGCGGGACAGACAGCCTGGAGAGAAGAGGGCTTGTGTAACTCCCACCTCCTTATCTCTCATTTCCAACTTCCTGATAGTAATCAGGAATGTATTTGCTGAAGTTAAGCAAATTGCTGTATCCATATGTGATAATACACATCCCTCCTCCATGCAATTGGAGTCTATGGTTGCTTGCTTACTGAATATAATGAGAACTTCTGTGAAGCCTATTATAGGAGCAGTAGAACTAAAACTAAATGTCAAATTCGTAGCAGCTTTTAAAGAAGGTATTTTAATTTATGGATATGTGGCAGTATAGAATGTGAAAATCACTAGTTCACTTTAATCCATATCTGATTACCTCTCAGTAAGCAGGACTTTCCAGAAACAGCAGATTATTCAGTTCTGGTTTGATGTATGGTATCTTTGTGGGTTGATACAACATGCGGCACCAACAAAAAATCATGGGCTTTTTGGTAAAATGCAGTTCAGTGAATTTGTGGAACTCTTGCACAGCCAGTCACAAGATAGCTGATATGGAGTATTTAGCTTGCTTTTTTAAGTGACAAAAGCAAGTCATGCTACACTGGGAGGAAGACAGTAAATCTGTTTAATGCATAACTGAATAAACAAACAATTATACCCGTAGAGATCTTTTTGGTTACAAAGCCTTAGCCCCTGTATTTTCCTGCAAGATAGATGAACTTCAGATAAGGTATTTCCAGTCATATCTTGCCCAGAGTAAAAAATCTGATACTGTCTGGAAGAAAATCTTGCCTCCTACAGACCAAGTCAAATGATAACATTTTAAAAGTTTATTTTTATGAAAAAAAGATAGCAGAAATGAAGATAATAAAAACATGCTCATTATGGTAACTTGTAGCCTGACACTGCTCTACTCCTCTTTTACTATTGGAAATTAATAGGGTTTTGGTCACTGGAAAATCTTCTACCACTAGTTCCCCTTAATTCTGTAAATTTGTGCTGGTATTCATGGTCTCTTAAAGGTGGGCTCAAGTTTGTAATTACCCATATTCTACTTGTCTAATATTTCCAGTATAATATTTTCCAGTAACAATAATATTAATCCCAACCAACAGACATCAGAAAAAGAGTAAATAATATTTGGATTTATAATATATTAGCACAGCACTGATTGTTCCAGGTTAATTGGCTTTGAACTGTTGAAATTAAGGAATGCTCTGTCTTACCTAGTGTACTTGGAAATTTTGCAGCAGCTAAGTAAGTCAACCAGAAAGTGATCAAAGTGACAAAATGATCAAAGTGAAATGGAAATGATATGTAAAAGTATAATCAAAAGGGCTACCATTAAATAAATATTTTGGTATGTTAGACATGTTATAAAAAAAACAAAACCAGAAACATGAACAGAGTAAAAAAAAAAATATCCTTCGAGTGGTGTACTGAAATAATTCTACTTTAAAATAAAGAGTGTCCTGAATAACATTGCATAACTGACTAACAATGTGTATTGAGTTTATGTGACTTCTTCTCACTGAAAGGAATTGTTTTGTTCTTCATGTTTTTCAGTGCTGCATTGTATGGTATGATGATGCATTTTATTTATTTATATTTTTCCAGGTCTGACAGCGGCTGCCATGGCAGAGGCTATGAAGTTACAGAAAATGAAACTTATGGCAATGAATAGCCTTCATGGAAGTGGAAGTCAAAATGGAACAGAGTCAGAAAATGAAGAGCTCAATTCAAATGCAGGTAAGTAATGCTGCGCATGGGAAACAAAATCAAAAATCTGTCTCAAATTCTTGTGCTCTTTTATTTTGTAAGCGTTTCTCTGCCAGTGACAAAGCAAAATTCCTGCACCCGTTCCTGCAGTATTCCTTCGGTTTTCCTCCTAACAGCTGTCGTCATTAATTTTTGAAAAATTCTGGTGAAGGATTAGTTTCATTATATTAGAATGCAGACATTTTAAACTGTTCCCTAAATATATTTGTACCAACAAAAAACTTCTCTACTGGCAATAACACAACGAGGCTAGAGTTTTCCTGTAAATGATGGAAAGTTTCCAAAACATCAGGTTGTTGAACTCATTATGAGTTCCACAGTTCACTGGAGAAAGGTAAAGTAGGGAATGCTAAATTTCCAACTCTCCAGTTTTTCTGTGTTTTGTTCTTTCCTTGTATGGATATTTGCAAGCCACAGCTGTGAAGGAGAGTTGTAATAAACATTTGTTAAGGCCTACATGGCTGGAATAACTTGGGGTAGAAGGCACTGACATTGAGCGCATGTTCCGTCTATACTTCTGTAAGCATTAGTATAAATTTGAACTAAGCTCCCTGAGTCCCAGCTACACAAGAATAGGGTTCAAAGTTTAAGTAAGAAACTAATATTTTGAAGAGGATATCTTCTTTGTTTATTCTTATTTTCAGGTGTATAGAAGAGATTTTTACTTGGATAGTGTAGAGAACCTAGAATAATAAATCTGTTTTGTCTCAAGAGAGTTGCTAGATACCTAGACTTGTTGGGCTGTTTCACTTGGACTCACTTTTTCTACATAAACAATCCTACAGTGCACTCTTACCATTCTGGAAGCTTGCACATCCTTTGTTTTCATTATCAATTCAAGAACAGAGGCATTGTGTAATCCCTCACTGCATTCACATCTCCCATTGGCATTCACACATCTCTGAAGTCACACATGCGTCTCAAGATGAAGATGCTTTAACGGTTTGCTTGCTTGGATGGGGTATAGTGTATATGCATTGTACCATCAAGATGGTAATTTATTAGACCAATAAAGCAGCAGCTGGGAGGTCTTAGACTCATTTTCTAAAGGAATAACTTTGAATTCATGACAAATTATGCACAAAGCAGTCTTTCCGAAAGTGGTATTGCCTCTTGCTAATTTTGTGTACTCATCTGTATTGAGGAAAGCTGGCTTTGAATTCATGCATTAAACCCTTCCCCAGCTTTCTATTATGTAGGATATGTATTTCTTATTCACCTCTCAGACCCTAATTACTTAGTGTGTATTGAATTCAGAAAAAAAGCACTGAGAAAGCTTATTTAGTTTGTGTAACTCTTATACTCTGTATATATTTCAAAATGAACTATGAAGTTTCACTGAATGCTGAGAAATACGACTGAAGGTAGAATTCCTATAGAAAAGCAAAGCAGCTTCATACAGAAAAGATGATTGTTAGTATTAAGGGTGTCAAAAGCTTGCTAATCTGAATGTTCATGGTTTCATGTGTTACCTGATAATGGCAAAATTTGTATACTTCATTTGGTGAGAAACCAGAGTACATTGATATTATTATTTTAGGTACCTCGTTGACAAGTTTTATAGGGGACTATCATACCAGCTTTTCGACAGTACGTCAAGAGTATGCATATTAAATGAAGGCTCTCTGAGATTTAGCAATTCAATGAGTTCTATAACTGACTCAATACCAATTTAAATATTTGGAAAAATTCCTGCTGACTTTAGCTGAAGTTGCAGTGGGGCCCAAGAATAAGGATATGGTGTCAGTTATGTAAAGATCTTTTCTCAATTCTTTTCATTGCCTAATTGAGTAAAATTGCCAAGAGCGAATTTGCTGGATCAGGTTGCTTGCAGACAGAGAAAAAATCCTTAACAAAAAGAACTACTACTAATCATACTAAAAATCCCTCTTTTTAGTGTCTGCAATGGCAGCAGTAGGATCACTTCTTTTAATGCATGGCTCCTGTATGTACTAGAGGATTATTTTTTAAAGATGTACGTTCGGAAGGTACAGCAGGATGTGTAAAAAAAACCACTCCTAAACAACAAAATGAATGGAATGTAAAACTTGACTATACTACTCACTGTACAAAATAACTGAGGAATTATCAAATATTCACTGCAGAAAACTCATTGGAGAGTGAGGTGGGGTGTGAAGAGCGGGCACTTTGTTTAGAAGTCGATGCACATGTTGTAACTTCGATTCACTGAGAAGAGAACACCATGATAAGTTTGTGTGCATGAAACCTTTACCAACTGTTTGTTTTGCTCTAGACACTTGCCGTTTAAATGACTATTAAAACCAGAATGGGGATGTGAAATGAGAAAGAAAATTGAATTTTGAAATTTTTTTACCAAGAAGAGGTAGAAAAGAACAGAGCAAAGGAGTCAGAAGCCTGATAAGTGAGAAAAACATTTTATTTTAGGAGAGAGACCTACAGTTTCTTTGATTTGAGGTTGTGTTTAATAGCTTCTGTAATGGCTGCAACATGACTCTGCATCTAGATTTCAGCATGAATAACAACCTGTTCGTGTTTCATTTAGCTCCAAATGAGAAACTCTGTCTTTTATTGTTTTAGGAAATTAGTCTGTGTACTATTGCTCCTGGAACTTTATAATTAATCACTAAAGGTTATGGCTGCGGAGAGTTTGTGGGAAATAGATGTCTGAATGATTATAATTGTAGCTGTCAAATCAGAAATATAGTTATACAGAGCAGAGGACCTTTTGCTTCCTTTGATTATATTTTTTTTTTCTTTCTACTGTAACAAAGACTTCCAGGGTTTACTTAAAAAAGCACAACTACAGAGATTGCTGGGGTTTTACCTCAGTGTTGCACTTTGGCTTCCTTTGGCGAGCAAAAGATACGCACCACCAACTATTTCACATTAGGATATATGCCTTCCTCCTCATTCTGTAGTCTGATAGATGGGTGGAATTGTCTCTTTTGCTCTTGAATATTTTGAATTAAAAATGTAGTTGATCTGTATTAAGTTCTGAAATTTTATTGCCAGATTTTTTGGAAGTATGTAAGTATGTACAGGCCTTTAGTGTAATAAAAAAGTGGTGAGGATGTCTTGTCAGATTAATTTCATTCCCCCTCTGTATTTTTCAAAATCAGTATGAAGTAATTTTGGATTTGCTTATTTAGTAGTGACTAGAATGTCATTTCTGTAGTTTTTCTCTCTCTCTGTGCACCTATGATGATGGAAATCTTTCAAGAATTTATTTATCTGAAGCCAGAATTCATGCTATCCATTTAAAATCTGATCTTTAACTCTCAGGATCACTGACTGAAATTCCTCATGAAGTATTGTCCTCTAGGAAATTACAGGTGTGGAACTGAGTCTTACAAATGTGTCTAAGGCAGTGGGGAGCAAATGTGCTACTTCTTTTCCTGCTTCTATTCCAGCTGGTATACTTTTGCCTACCTCCTTTTTGTGATATTACAGTAATCATCTCAGTAGTGGTGGAGTTTAGTGCTGGAATATTCTAAGTAACTTATAAAAAAATAATAAAAGTGCTGCAAGAGACAATACTGAAACTGTGAAAAAATGTACCAAACAACCAAAAAATATGCACGTATTTTTTAATTGAAGTAATGCATTAGTTCACAGTGCTGTGAGGAATGTTGTTATACATTTGAACATTAATGTGCTCCTTCCACTCTCTGCGGAAGAGAAAGAGGTTTGTTTGCACCTTCCTACTCATCATATGAAGTGTTGAAGCAAACTTCTCAGGCAGTTGAAAACCCTCATATTTAATCTGGCAGTACAGGTTCTCTGGCCCCGAAGTCCAGCCGATCTGTGCTAGCTGCTCCCTTGTGGCTTAGTGTCTGCTTATTGTAGGATCTGGGAAAGAAGGTTGAATTTCATGAACCACCTAGTTGGGGCCATAGATGTTTGAAAGTGGGAGAAATTAATCCCTCTGTAATTCCCAGTGGCCATAAGTGCTCTTCCTTTTTGGCTACTCTATGTGAGTCCTTGGAGATGAGATGGTTTGACGACGGCAGTCAGTGCACACATCTGAGGGTTGCCCTGTGTCCAGAGGGTTGCTATAGCTAAAGTAAGTCATGCTGTAAAGCATGACAAATATGTGCCTTTCATATTCCACTTTGGAAAATGAGGAAATCACAAGTTTGAAGCTGACAGCTGCAGGCAGGTATGATGAATGCGTATGCAGATCTTTGTAAGTCCAGCCATGTAATCAGTTTTGGTGTTCTATGGAAATAAAATAAAACAAAACCCCTCTGGTTGCACAGAAGTGTTTATAAAGATCATCTATTTCATCATCATGCAATATTAAAATTAGGTGACGTGTATTGTGGAAATTAGCATATAATTGCCTACGGAAATTGGAAACTTATTTGAAATCAGAGGTGGGGTTTTTTTAATAGCATAGCAGCATATTATTTGTACAAATATATGATAGAAGTGGAATGTGAAGGATAGATTGCAAAGCACAGTATTGGTGATATTACGTGAACATCCTGTAAGCTGTGTAAGCAAAGAAAGATCAGTGCATAGCAGTCCCTGACAGTACCTGTTTGTTCAAAACCTCAGTGCAAAGAATAAAGCAGTTACTTCCTTCTCTTGGCTTTTGGAGTTACCATGCATGATTTAATAAATGTGTTTTGCTTTCCCAAGAGAGATATCAAACAGTACTAAGTGTTTCGGTGGTATTTCCTTAGGAAGTCAAAATGTTATTCTGTATGTACAGTCTTGTTGCTTAATTTCCAGACAAGGAGCTAAGTTAGGCAGAAAGAAAGGAAAAACACCCCAGCTTTTGGCATATGAGGATCAGAGAAAAAGCTCTTCATAGGAAAAAAAAAAAAAAAAGTGTTATCTTTTAATCCTTTTTTCCCTTCAGTACCTGCCATGCAGTTTTCTCACAAATGCAAACATCCTTCACAATCTGTTTAAAAAACCACAAATACATCACTCAGAGGAATATTTAAGGAACCATCAGGAGGGAAAAAACTCATTGGTTT